TTTATCATGAACAGCATTTTCAGCAGAATACGTCTTACTGTAGCTACCTGAAGAACTGAGGTCTTCACTGGTATGTTGCATTAGTTCTGAATTGTTTTGTGTATTCAAAATTCATTATGCATCCATCATCGAGGAGCCAAAAATGATTGGCTTTGGAGATAGGATACCTGAGTTTGAGTCTTGGTTTTTTAATTCTGCTTTACTGTGGTGGTTTAACACACTTCCCATTGAGAAGGAGGATCTCCTACCTTTGAATGAGTGGGCGTGTTCCTGCTCTGATTAACAGAATGGTGGAGGTGAGGCTTACAACTTCCAAGGCTCAGTCATAAAAGGCCATGAAGTTCTGTCTGGTTCTCTTGGGAGGATTGCCCTGAGAGAAGTCAGCCACCATCCAAGAAATCTGCCCACCCAGGGAGTACCATGTTGGAGAGACCACCTGTAGAAGTGCTAGTCACTAGCTGGGTTGAGCTCCCCGTCAACCAGCAGCATCAGCTGCCAGCCACCAAGTGGCCCATTTTGGCTGCCATTTTGGCCAACTCTACAGATAACTGTAGCCCCACCTGCTGTTTGGCTGTAGCCGCACGGAAGACTCCAAGCGAGAGCTGCCCCAGCCAAGTCCTTCCCAAACACCCTGACCCACAAACCTACGGGTAAAATAAAATGGTGGTTGCTTTTCGCCACAATAGTTGGGGTAACTTTGTATGGAACAACAATACCTGTAATAGTGATTGTGGGTGAAGGACTTGATGTCTTTAAATGCTTACATCTTAACATCTCTGATGGAGTATCATGTACTGTTGCTGCAGTAGCTGAAAAGGATTATGTGAACCCTGAAGTTCTGAGCAAACATGTGTAATTTTATTTTATGTACTTCTGTATGTGTTTATTCAACACACTAATTGAATACCTATTATATGTCAAGTCCGTGTGGTACGCTAGGGGTATAACCACTAATAAGATACAGTCATAGTCAAGTAACTCAGATTTGGATAGAGGAAGTAGTCAAGAAACCAGGTGATGGAATGAAGTGTAGAAAGGCCACACTAGGGGTCACTGCGGGAACTGTGGGAACACATCGTAGTAGGGGCTTGCTCCTGCGATCCTGAGGGAGGCAGCGAGAACAGTCAGGATTTGGGATTAGATGTGTGGGGACAGGGGAGGCATGAGAGAGGAGGAGGCACTGCATACGAGACACAGAATATCTAGCTTACTCAGTAGTGAATGAGCTGAAAGTCAAAAAGGAGTGTGGAATGTTGCACAGAGGAACTTTTTCGTTTTTTGGTTTTTTTGTTTTGTTTTTTGTGTGACCTGTGTAAACCTTGGTAAAAAAAAGATTTCACAATGTGGCATGATAGAGGTACTGTAAAATCTGCCTTCCATGCATCTGTCTGGGCACACAATAACTAGACAAACAAATAATCAAGAACAATAGACTACATAATTACTACCCTTAAATAACCTTCGTCACTTTGGACAAGTAAGCGGGAGACAAGACTAAGGATACAAGATTTCATGAGAAACTTATTCTAATCAACGCAAGGATGGAGCATGGTGAGACTAGGAGGCAACTGTGGAAACCTGGCTCCAAAGTCTTTGCAAAGCCCCTCGCTCCCAGTCAGAGTCACACGGGGATAGGCCTGCCCCCCGAGACCTGAGGGTTGGGCCAGTAGGTCTTCCTTGACCCTCAGCTGACCACGATCACACTCACAACGTGTTTAGGGGTGGAGGGGCTGGGGGAGGGCAGAATCGAAGCATCAGCAAAAAATTCTAAAAATGTCACCCTCCCATTCATCATTTAAGTAGGCCCATTAAACAACCCCCCAAAGTCAACAGAATAAGCAAAAAGACTTGTTATCAATGTGTAACATCAGGTGTCTCAGAGGTGAGAGTGGAATAACTGATTCATCATCAGCTCTTGCGTCTCTATACCTGGCACCCTTCTCCTAAACCACCTGTCGACAGTATGATAACATTTGCAAATGGTGATGGGGGTGAGGACAGTGAGGTTCTCAGAGCAATTAAAACCTCAGGGCAAGTAAAGAGGAGAGGGGAGGGGACTTGTTTGGAATGAGGAACCTCTGTTTCCCCTTCATTGGGAAAGGTCTATTACTCTCCATGGCAGAGACAAGAAGCATGCTAAGTTGCTTCAGCCATATCCAACTCTTCACAACCCCATGAACTGCAGCCTGCCAGGCTCCTCTGTCCATGGGATTCTCCAGTCAAGAATACTAGAGTGGGTTGCCATTCCCTCCTCCAGGGGATCTTCCCGACCCAGGGACTGAACCCGTGTCTCATACATTTCTTGCATTCGCAGGCGAGTTCTCTACTACTAGCGCCACTTGGGAAGTGCCAGAGACAAGAAGGGCTCCTGACAAATGCCAAATTTAATGAACTCAGATCCATGTGAAATGGACTCAATGCAATTTGCTATTTGCGCTCCTTCTTTTCTCTCTTGGAGAAGCTTGCAGTTTAAGACAGCTTATGGATGGGAGGAGGGGCAGGAAGTAAAGTTAATAAAAGAGGGAGAAAAAGAAAAACCAAGCAGCTGTGATACCCAGAGTGGTGCCAAGACAGTCGTTTTAGGAAAGAGTGGGGGGCTTTCTTGGGGGCAGGAAGATTCTCCCATAACATCTCAAAACGTAGGTGAGGGCTTTTCCCCTCCCTTAGTTCTTGGTATGGAACCAGGCACACAGAAGGTTCCAGCAAAGGTTGGCCAGAAGGAATAAACCTGGAGGAGCTGTGCTGTCCTTGCCCTCATCCCCAAGGTGTGATGCTGCAGAGGCTTTGAGGGGACAGTTCTTCAGTTCAATCCTATTTACTGAGATACCAGCCTTTTAATCTCAGAAATGCTCCACCATGCCCTAGGAGCCTGCTCTGTCCGTTCCCTCCGCTACCACGCCCACCCCAGCCCTCCCACTTCCCACCCCAGTAGAAGACAGCATCTTTTCAAAGCAGACATCACACCGTGCCTTTCTTCAGACATGACCATCCCCGGTGACCTCTGCATCCCTCTGAATGTAAGATCCCATCCAAAGTTCCTTGCATCTTTGACAACTGGGAAGAAGGCAGGTGAAATCCCATTGTAAAAATACTGTTATACAAAAAAAAAATCACATTATTTGCAACATCTCTCCACCTCCTCCAAGGGCACAGGGGTCAGGGAATTTCATTATCACTCAAAAAGGGATTCACTGGCAAGCTACACAGACTCATTAACCAAGACCCAGGATTCCTGGGTTCTCATTCCTGGTTCTATCAAAGTTGCCATGTGGCTTAAAGTCAGTCATTTAACTCCCCTGCTTTCTTAAGTAAATAATTATTTACATATGGACACTTATTTATATATATTATTTATATATGGACACTTCCCCACATATTTGGCAAAGCTACTACTCAGTTCAGATGAGAAACTCTCACGTGGCCAAGTCAAAATTCTTGATTGGTCTTCCCCAACCTGTTACTCTGTCGGGCTCCTCATCTTAACAGAATAACAACAACAAAAAGATCTCTAGTCATGCTTTTGAACTGTGGTGTTGGAGAAGACTCTTGAGAGTCCCTTGGACAGCAAGGAGATCCAACCAGTCCATCCTAGAGGAGATCAGTCCTGGGTGTTCATTGGAAGGACTGATGCTGAAGCTGAAACTCCAATACTTTGGCCACCTGATGCGAAGAGCTGACTCATCTGAAAATACCCTGATGCTGGGAAGGATTGAGGGCAGGAGAAGGGGACGACAGAGGATGAGATGGTTGGATGGCATCACCAACTTGATGGACATGGGTTTGGGTGGACTCCGGGAGTTGGTGATGGACAGGGAGGCCTGGCTTGCTGCGGTTCATGGAGTCGCAAAGAGGGACACGGCTGAGCAACTGAACTGAACTGAACTGAGTCATGCACTTACTTGGGGCGTAACATGCAGCCATCCCTGGGTTCTTTCTTTCTCTCCTAGAGAGCAGCCAATCCAGCCTCATTTCTTTCTGTCCTCCTTTTCACTCACAGGAAATTATCCACCCTGGCCATTTTTCATCCAACACACTAACCTTGTTCTTGCCCCAAGGTCATGACGTCACTCCTTCCTCATCTGGAAATTTCCTTCTCCAGTTCATACAGTCCTTTCCTCAAATGTCACGTCCACAGAAAACCTTCCCTGCCTACCCACCTGAGATCCTCTTTTCCTTCTACCCCCACGTGCTCTACACCCTGCTTTACTTTTCTCCATAACATTGATTAATATCTGCAATGATGCCATGTCTTTTTGTTGCCTCCCTCTTGTATCAAAATAGCACTGTCAGGAGGTTAGGATCTCTGTTCTCCTATCACCACATTCTGTATCTAGTCCAGCGCTGGCATAGAGCACGCACTCGATAAATATTTGTAGAATGAGTGGATAGGTAATGCGCGCACACACACACACACACACACACACACACACACACACACACAAACATGTGGGAAAGTTCAAAGCTGCACAGCTGAAGGGAAAATTATACATTATGGCTGTGCCCGCCCACTCCAAAGAGAAGAAGATTTACGTGTAGGGTTCGGAAATCTCTTGCAAACACATGTTTCAACACATATATGGTGAGGAACACCTCACTCATTTGGTTTTGTAAGGAACTATCTGGGGAAATGGAAGAAAAGGAAGAAATGCATTTCATTTTGCTAGGCGCTTGGTGTTATTTCCCAATTTGCTCCGGATTTCACAGGAAACGCTTTCAGCCTGAGGGGATGAGAATGCCAAGGTGAGGTGCAGCCAGGACTGGAAGGCCCTCTGGAAGGACACTGTGTGCGGCGCAACCGCGACCGGAAGGCCCTCTGGAAGGACACTGTGTGCGGCGCAACCGGGACCGGAAGGCCCTCTGGAGGACCCCGTGTGAGGCGCAGCCGGGACCGGAAGGCCCTCTGGAAGGACACTGTGTGCGGCGCAACCGGGACCGGAAGGCCCTCTGGAGGACCCCGTGTGAGGCGCAACCGGGACCGGAAGGCCCTCTGGAGGAACCCGTGTGAGGCGCAACCGGGACCGGAAGCCCCTCTGGAGGGCCACAGGTGCTTGTGTTGGGGGCCTGAGAGGGAAAGTGGGGGCAGAAGCGGGGAGTGACCTCCAGGGTCCCTACCCCCCCCAACACCTCCCTCACCCACTGCTTCTAGAATTTCCACTCCACAGTTAATAACAAAGCCTAGCCTTCCAAGAGATGAAGGAACACGTGATGTGAGTTCAGCCCCTTCTTCCGGGTGTGATTTTGGAGAAAGTTACTTAACCTCTTTGATTCTTCTCTACATTTTTAAAAACCTTGTGTAATATGAAAAATAGGTGAGGGTGGGGGACACACTGACTCCGGCCTCACTAGCTCTTCTCTGAGATAAGGTAGTTTTAACACACATGAGGGAGTCCCATTATAACTGTGAATTTCCCCAGAAGCTGATGGAGCCTGAATCCCTTCTGTGGGTAGATACTGCTGGGCGGAGGTGAAGAGGTGAATAGCGCTGTAACACGAAATGGTAATTTCCTAACACAGCACAGCTATTACTTCACATTAAAGGAAATATTTGTATTCAAAGATTATGTAATGGTGAAATGCTGAACAATTACTATTACAAAATATTTTGGCTTCTATTGGGTACGGAGGAGAGAAGAAAAACCCTGAAATAGAAGACGGTGGTGGCTCATAGGAAAATTTTATCATTTCTCTTTTGAATGACTGAAGACTCCGCATTCCCACACACGTTCTGAACACTTCTGGCAAAATAAGTCATCATGTTATGCCAGCAAGTATTTGTTAAGCCTCTACTATATGCCTGTTTGTAGATCTAGACCAGTTCTCAGACCAGAACCCACTGACCAAAGAAGTGCCTGGGTACCCATGAAGAAGGCTGTGACAGCACAGCAAATGTATATAGTATTGGTTCCTCCAGGCCTTTATCAGGGGACTTAGGGCCATTTATTTAGGTAACCATGTAGGTAAGCAGAAGAGTTGAATACAAGTTGACACTGATACACAGGGACTCAAGACATACTTACAGTGGGGGCATTTATGGACCACCAGAGTCTTCACTTAATAAATGGCATCTTCACTTAAATCTATTTCACAGTAAGATGATCATTTTCCCAGGCCCCAAGTAGATAATTTACATGGATATATGTAGTAGTTGGCAGAATCCTCCTCCCATTGTTTCCTTGGTCTCTAGGATAAACTATCACAGTTGGAGAGGCAAGAGGAATCATCTCCATCTACAGCAGAAAGAGGAAAGCAAGGCCAGCATCATGTCCTGAGAATCACTGATATGGTAAGTGATATTCTTAAAGACCTTAAGGATGCAGGGGTAGTGGTCTCCATCATATCTCCATGTAATTCATCAACCCTGTCCTGTAAAAACCCAGATGGGTCCAGTTGAATGGAAGTGAGCTACCACACACTCAAACAAATTATAGGATTAATTGCAGCTGCCAGATGTGATGTCTAGGCTATAGCCCATTAATACAGCCTTGGGTATGTAGTCTATGGCCATTGATCTGGAAAATAAGTTTTTTCCCATCCCTCTCAAAGAGGGATCAGAAGCAGTTTCAGTTCACAAGGGGTGGGCACTGCTGCACATTTACAGTCTTACCGCAGGACTATATTAACTACCCAACCCTCTGTCCTAACAGTTTGAAGGGACATGGACCACCTGGACTTTGTGCAGAATAACACATCAGCCCACTATATTGATGTATCCTGCTAATTGAATGTGAAGAACAAAAAAGGGAAAGCACATTCAAGAGCTTGGTAGGATGTATGTACTACAAAAAGCACGAGATGGATCCTATGAAGAAATGGGAACTTGCCACATCAGTGAAGACCAGGCTTCTGTGCACTGTGGTATGCCATATATCTGTTTCAAAATAAAGAAGAGATTCCTGCAACTTACATGTCACAAGCCTAGGGAGGAAGCAGAATGCTCACTAGGCCTCCTTGGGTTCTGAAAGCAGCATATGGAATACTTGGGGATATTAGCCTGGCCCATTTTCCCAGTAGCATGGGAGGCCACCAGCTCTGAGTAGGTCACAGGGCAGAGAAAGGATCTGCAGCAGGTCAGGCTGAGCTACAAACAACCCTGGCATTTGTATTATGTGATCCAGTGGACCCTATCATAGGAGAGTCATTGGTGGTCATAAATACTCTGGAGTTTGTGGCAGGTGCCAATTAGGAGACTCATAATGTAGACATCTCCCAAGCTTCTAGAGTAAGGCCCAGCCATCTGCATCACAGAGCTATGCATTTGTGGGAGACAGGAGAGTGGGTGAATTCCTGGTATGCTACGGATCAAGAGTCCAGGGAAGCCAGAGTTGCCAATCATGAGCCGGGTTCTGTAAGATCCACCAGGTCATGTGGAGCAGATGATATAAGATGAAAGTGGCACATTGAGGATCAGGCCCAAGCAAGTTCAGAGGGCACAGGGAAACTGTTAGGAAACTGAGGACCAAAACCACCTGCCATGGTCAGGCCATTTGCCTGACCTGTGTCACAACAGAAGGTCCCGATAAGGAACATGGTGCTGCTCCTGAAATCTAGCCTGGGGAATTCAGGAGAAGCCAAAAGAGGGAGGAGATGACCAACCTCCCAGAGTCCCTCTCGTCAGAATCCATCCTGGCTGAGAGATGTGCATGCTATCCGGAAGGACCCTGAGTCAGACTATGGGCCAAGCAAGGTGGCTGGCCAGAGACAACCTGGAAACTAATCCCATTACCATAAAACCTGAGACTGCAGGCCACATGGCAGAGTGGTTCTCCTGGGCCCCCTTCTCTTGCTACTCTTCACTCAAATGTCCCTTTTCTAATAGCCTCTTCTTTGTCAGCACATGTATCTCCTGGGACAATTCATTTCTGAGTGTTACAAAGGAGCCCACTCTCAGGCCCTGGAAAGGGCCCCCTTCCTACTACAAAACTACAGAAGCAGATGCCCCGATCCCATGTCTTCTACCACTTGCACCCTTCCTGACACTTACGTAGGTGGTGGGGGTTGGGAGAGGTATGGGGCTGGAAGGCCAAGCTGATTTCACAAAGAGATATTGGCTTCGTATATATGTATACAGAACAGAAATAGACCAAGTTGCTTAGTCGTGTCCGACTCTTTGAGACCCCGTGGATTATACAGCCCATGAAATTCTCCAAGCCAGAATGCTGGAGTGGGTAGCCTTTCCCTTCTCCAGGGGATCTTCCCAACCCAGGGATCGAACCCAGGTCTCCCTCATTACAGGCGGATTCTTTAGCATCTGGCCACAGGAGAAGCCCCAAGATGACCACTTGCACACAAAGGATAGACTTTGAGGGGTATACTTGACCATCTTCTTTGTGGGAAAAGAGGTGAGGTTCAAAGTGAGATATAAGTGGATGGATGACTTGATTGGCTTCTCAGGGGCCTTGGCAGAGAAAGACAGGAAGATCCCCTTGCCTCACTTGTTCGGCAGCAACTCAAACAAAAGCCTTTGAGAAGTCAGTGAGGCATCCCTGCCTGGGGTCATCAATGAGTGGAGGGTTTACTGAAGAGAAGGAAAACCTAGGAGACTGCAGAACTTGTCCCTTCACTGTCAGGGGTGCAGACACATGCCACAGCTCAGCAATCCACACTACACTGGGCCCAGCTCCTTGGAGCCTGCCTGCAAAGCTTTCAAGCCCCAGTCTCGTTTAACCTGATTTTGACTCCTCGTGTAAAGCAGAACAGCACCAAAAACAGATACCAGGTGAGTGACAGCGAGCCCCAAAGGGGTTGGAATCAGGGACCAGCAGGGTCCCTCTGGCCCTCAGGTGCCATGACAAAGGAGCCAAGGATGGGAATAGTTTGCTAGTACAGAGGCTCTCTCGTTACTGAAGCAACAGAATCATGTGGAAAGCTGTTAAACACAGATTGCAGGCCTCCACCCTGGAGTGGTGGAGGCGCAGGGTCTGAGAATTTGCTTCTCTGTCAAATTGTCAGGGGATGCTGATGCTGCCAGTAGAAATCACCCATTGAGAGTCACTGCTGGGGACTCAAGAGACCAACCTTGTGAGTTCCATCACCCCCTACTCTAGCAGCCAGCTTCAGTGAAGGAGGCCATGTGCATTGTAGTTAAGAGCCTGGACCTTGGAGTTCAACTGATCTGAGTTCAAATCCAGACTCTGTCACTGATCAGCTATGCGAGCTGTGACAAGGGAATTTTACCAGTTGAACCTCAATTTTCCCATCTGTAAAATGGGGAACCATGATAATATCAACCTTGAACTTTACAGGATACTGTAAAGGTTTCATTAGGATATTTTGAAAAACAAAATAGGCATGGTGCCTAGCACATAGTAAACCCTGGGTAAATGAGCATACAGTGTTAGCAGTTAAAATGCTGGCTAAATGTAAGAGATTACTTTCTACTGACATCTAGACTTTATTCTTCCATTCCAGTTTTCATTTTCTGGGACTCAAGAGAGGTAACAACATTAAGAGGAAAGCAAAGAAAAGATACCTTGTAATGGGGTCAATAACTCCCTGTTCCACCTCTCCTCAGTCCTGTTCTCCAAGGTCAGGTGTTTAAATTCAGACTGATTCCTTTTAAAGTCTACAAAACACTAGCATCACTTGCTGACACTGTATGCTCATTTACCAAGAGCTTACTAATGTGCTATGCACCATGCCTATTTTTTTCAAAATATCCTGATGAAACCTTTACACCTGTAAAGTTCAAGGTTAAAGTTCAGACTGAATACCAGACCACCTGACCTGCCTCTTGAGAAACCTGTATGCAGGTCAGGAAGCAACAGTTAGAACTGGACATAGAACAACAGACTGGTTGCAAATCAGGAAAGGAGTACGTCAACGCTGTATATTGTCACCCTGCTTATTTAACTTATATGCAGAGTACATTACGAGAAAGGCTAGGCTGGAGGAAGCACAAGCTGGAATCAAGATTGCCGGGAGAAATGTCAATAACCTCAGACAAGCAGGTGACACCACCCTTATGGCAGAAAGTGAAGAGGAACTAAAGAGCCTCTTGATAAAAGTGAAAGAGGAGAGTGAAAAAGTTGGCTTAAAGCTAAACATTCAGAAAACTAAGATCATGGCATCCCATGGTCCCATCACTTCATGGCAAATATATGGAGAAACAGGCGAAACAGTGGCAGACTGTATTTTGGGGGGCTCCAAAATCACTGCAGATGGTGACTGCGGCCATGAAATTAAACGACACTTACTCCTTGGAAGGAAAGTTATGTTGCTGCAGTCCATGGGGTTGCAAAGAGTCAGACACAACTGAGTGACTGAACTGAACTGATTCCTTGGGAATCATCCTCCTGTTCTCCTTGCCCATAGTGCCAGACAAGGGTGAGTGGTCATAGTCTTGTGTCCACAGGCCTGTCTGGCTTTTGTAGGCTGATGTGGACACAGCAGTTAGCACGATGCCTGGCACACAACACTCGCACAAGCAATATTTTTTGAAATTAAATTTATGTAAATTAAGGAGCCAGGATTTGGGATCCAGTTCTGTCTCCAGGTCATTGTGGCCTTGGGTAAGCTTCTCCTAACACTGAAACCTCAGTTTCTCACTTGTCAAAAAGGAGACTTCCCAGGTCTCTTCCAGTTTAAGGTTATAGCTATAGTGTCATGAACAGAGATCTGAACTGCACGTCAGAAAAGCAGGACTAGGGGTTCAGATCTGCCACTAACTCAGGGTGGAGAATTCATTTCCCTTCCCTGTCCCTCAGTTTTCTCCTCTGTACTATGGGAAGATTTATAAGTGCCCAGCTCCCATTCCATAGTCCTGAACTTCTGGAATATTTTATTGTAGGTCTCTTTGGGGTTCAAGGTCAAGGCCTTTAAGGAGTATTTGAAGTGATAAATAAAGAGTGTGTTTCCTTTTATCCTGAAGTGGTCACATTTTAGTGAAGGCCTCTTGGATCTTACTGGATGAAATCTCTTAGAATAAGCCACAGTAATAATGATCATTAATATTGCATGTAATCATTAAAGTAAGTAGCATCATATTACCCTCAACTCAGATGTTATGTTTTAGCTGAGAGTCTTCAGATGCTTTAGCAAGGCAAAGTGGGATTGCTATTTGAGCTGCTCACTTAAAGCTTCCTGGCACGCATTTTCAAACCTAAGGGAGGTGACAGACGGTAGGGAAGAATGGCTTTAGAAGCCGTTCAGTGTCAGGTTCTTTGACTTTCTAGGTGTGTGACCCTGGGCCAGTGACTCAACCTCTCTGGGTCTCCGTCCCCTCCGCTGGGAATGTGTCTCTGGCTCATATCACATGGTTGTTGCAATGATCATCTAAGATAATGGATGTGAAAATTTGCTGTAAACTGTTAAGCTCTCTGCAAACACAAGGCATTGCCATTATAGTAATAAAAAGCAAGTGGCACATGAATATTTCACAAGCATGGACTGGGGCCAGTTATTTGTGAAGTGTTCCCATCTGATGGGGTTTTACAAGTACACACACCCTCTCCTCATTACAGACTTAATAATCTCTTCCCAAATCTTCAAACTCCCTTTGTTTCTCCATAATTTCTTCTTAATGTCCCTTACTTTCATAGCTATTTATTACTGAACTCTGGGTCCCATTTGGGGAGAAGGCTAGAAAAAATACACATATACATACTTTGTACAGAGACAAAAACACAATGAAGCCAGGGCATTTCAATTCTTAACTAAGATATAAAAAAATATACATCTTCTTTGTAGGTCTGTCAGACCTATTCATATTAGGGATACTTAGTCTAAAATTAGGTTTCCCAAACGTTGCCTCAAATCCATTCACACGTGGCATTAATGTGGGGTGGGGCGAAATGAAACAGGCTCGGTGCAATTTTTTTCCTTTTTATTCCTCTTTAAAAAAAGTAGAAGAGTTTTACAAAGCCTTTGGAGTCTCTCTTGGCTAAAAAGGAAATCCTTTTGC